TTTGGAGGTGGACTTATTGGTCGTTTTTTTTTTTTTTTTTTAGTCTTTCACGTCCATAATTTAGTCATATACTCCTCAGATTTTATTTATAAGGCACTTTTAATATTTCATATAAACTAAAAAAACTTTAAACTACATTAATTTTTCATTAAAATATAACAAATTTCTAATTTTACCCCTCATTTATTATATACATCTTTTGAAAAAAAACTATCTATACTATAAAAAATGAAGGACAAAATGTATTCATGCTAAATATTTAATGAAGTGACTTATAAATAGGATTAACAAAAACCTTCTTTCTTTACCTTGTAAATAGAACCAGATGAGTATACTATATTTTTAAGATTTAGCCAGTTCTTTACTTGTGATAATTTTTAACCAAAGTGCTAAATCAGTTGTTTTTTCGTTCGTGCAAAATAGCCGTGTAATTTTTTTGTTAGTGCAGATGTTGCAAATGACTGCAATGTCAATGAGGCGTCTCGGGCCACGTGCAATGTTCTATCTTTCAGCTGCAGTATCTGATTATTATGTTCCTTGGAAGGACATGGTAATAATTTGAAAATTAGTTCTTCTTCAATATAGTAGTCTTGTTCTTTATTTCTGGATCCTGTTATTCAGTAGCGTAGATATATGTTAGTCACTAGATTGTTTCCAATGCAGAGTTTATACTTTAATATTGTTGCAAATGACATAATTTCTTATAGTTGAAGAAATTTATAATTCTATAAGATTTTGGAACTGCTATGTGCATCAAAGATGAAATTTTGGTCTTGGTAAGAGATTTTGAACATAATGGATAACAAATTCTATAAACTATAGACCTCAAGACGGGGATACCTGGGGAAAAACTTCATCAGATTAGTATGGCTGGTTATTACTTTAAAAGGTGGACCGTAAAGCTAGAAATTCGCAACTTCTACTTATATCAGATTTTTTTGGTTGGCCAGATACATGTCCTAGATTTACTTGCTATTGGTGATGTCAACTTGTATTATTCCTCTAGGTGGAGCACAAAATTCAGTCAGGATCTTACCTTTTGGACGTCAAACTCGTTCAAGTGCCAAAAATGTTGTCGGTGCTAAGGGAAGAATGGGCTCCATCTGCCTTCTGCATATCTTTCAAGGTACAGAACTCTGTCCCCTCCTGTTTGGCTATTTTACACTTGTGGAATCTTTTCATTGCCCTATACTGTTATGTTAAATGCATGATTAATTTATAATCACCATTCGCTAGTTTTAAAAAAGGTCTGGAGTTTGGCTCAGAGTTTGAAGCTGAGTTCAGTTTTGGATGCCTTTCCATATGATGTTATGTTATTTTTCGTGCGAGCTCGTCAATGATATTGTTTTTCAAAAACAATGTGCCTAGGTTGCCTGATATGGGGTTCGATAAAAATTTGCATTCAATTTTTGAATCTTCATCATGAATAACAATTGGAATACGTTCAGATTCAAACTATATTGTTTTCCAAGGATCTCCTGTTTTCTCGCAACCCTAAAGCATTGAAAAGGAAATGAGACTTTTTGATACTAATACCTTTTGATGTTACAACCTTTTCATCTAAGATTTATTATTTTTCATTGCTGGCAGTTAGAGACAGATTCAAACATTCTTCTGAAGAAAGCTGATAAGGCTCTTGAAAAGTACAGATGCATGCTGTTGTTTGCAAACGAACTCTCCACTCGCAAGGAGGAAGTGGTGGTTGTCACCAGTTCTGAGAAGACCACTGTTCGGCGCAATAAGAGTCAACCTGGTGATGTTGTAGAGAATCCCCTAATTAAGCTTCTTTCCGGGAAACATTTAGCTTTCATTGAAGAATCTAGCAGATGAGTCAAAATAATGAGATCCTGATCAGCTGTCTTTTTGGGACACTAAAACTTTCGCTTTTATTGGACAAATTCATCGTCCATAAGAAGGATGAGAAGAACTGGACGCACCATGGAAATAAGGCCTACAAGAGAAGAAATGTAGGGCCCTTGTCTGAATTTTATTTTATTTTATTTTATTTTGTTCTAAGATTAGCCAAGTTATAAATGAACTTTGCATCATATTTTTGAGTTTATCTCATAATAAAAACGGGTTTGCCCCATTTCCTTTCATGATTGAGAAATTGTATATGTTGTGAATGTTTGGGGTTCTGTGTTTGTTGTTAATGGTATTGACAGTGGAAGATGAAGTTAATACGATGAGCAAAAGAAATAGGTTTCTTATGAGAAACATTAGCACCAGATTTCAGTATGTAGTTTCAATTCTACGACCCTCTCGTTAGAATTGAAACTGCAAACGATCATATCAAAGTCATGAATTGAGCCTTTTCATGTTATATTTTAGTGTATAGATTCAATCAATTGTTAAATTACCGAGTGATTATAGAGAGGCAATGGAACTTGTACTAACAGATGGGCCAAGCCACTGTTTATGTCTTCTTCCTCACATCAACAATTTTTTTTTTTTGATACATCAACATATTTAATTTAATCTTAAATATAAAACTTAATCTATTTTGTCTTTAATATTTATGCATTTTGTCTTTAAGTAATCCTAATATGATGATGTATTTATTAAGGTTTTCTTTCAAAATATCGTTTCGATATGCACGATTAATAATGATATTTTAGGAAAGATAATATCTATTTATTACAAATAACTAACTTATCTAATTTTTTTAATATTCACTAACAAACTCTTAGTTGAGATGGTAAGTGATCTCATCCCTGTAAGGAAGAGAATACAAATTTGAATATCAGAAGTGCATTTATCCAGGAGGATCTTAACCTTAACGGTTCCTGTTTGACAGATATTAGTCTCATCCAAAGTAACTTGGGGATAATAAGAGTTTACCCAAAAATAATAATTTTTTTAATATTCTTAAATTAGTTTTTAATATTCTTAAAAACTCTATTTGATTTTGAACATTAAGACCGTTTGCGATTGCGCAAGAGGTTCAAATAAGTGTTTTTCTAAGCCGAACCACGCATATTACATTGCCTTTTCGTAACTCTCTGAATTGATCAAACTCGAGAGCCAGTGCGCCGTCGATCCTCTCATGTGCCAGAAAGGATCTATTAACCTTTTTTGTTTTGTTATACACACACTCCCTCCTCTTCTAATTTTTAATATAAAAGTTAATTTCATATTTAATTTGATCCTAAATATAAAATTCTAATCTATTTTATCTTTTATACTTATCTATTTTTGTTAAAATAGTCATTGTAATATTTACACGTGTTAAATATTTCATTAAATAGTAGTTGTAGCTAATACATATAATTAGCAAGAGTATTTTAGAGAAGGCAATATTTATTTATTACAAATAATCAACTTAGCTAATTTTCTTAATCTACTCAAATTAGTCAACTAATTCTCGTATTAAGGACTCGATATATATATATATATATATATATATTATAACGGGAATTTGAATTCTAAATCATTATTCACATGCTACCGAATTCTTATATTTGAGTTAGACTAGTGGGTTTTGCACATTTAAGTGGAACTCGAAAACAAATGAATAAGCATATTAATTTATGCATTGTCAGTCAACAATTGTCAGTCAATAATTGTCAGTCAAAAGATATAAATCTTTCCAGTCTTTAACCGATTTCATTAATTTTTCATCACTTAATTGAAGTTTATTAGATTAAATTTCTAAGCCATAGGAGCAAAGGGTGATTGGCCAATTTTTTCCATTCATTTGAATTGAACCATCCACTTCTTTTTAGAGGAATCATTACTAATATCCAATTTATTTAAATTTTTATAATTTTTTTAAATATCAAGAGAGCATACAGATCGTAATCCATCCATCTCCCCTCTCCTCCCCTCCAATCTCAACAAGATAGAAAGTTAATGTTCCCATCCATCTAGTTAAGCTGGAAAATTACGAACTACCCTGAATTACACAAGCCTAAAGCTTAGGCTACTTTTCAAGTTGGGATTGAAATGTAATCTTTCCAAACTATTATGGGTAAAGAAGTCATAACAGTTGGTATATGTATCTTTTTATTAGAAGTAATCATATTCGAAACGCTATCCACATTATGAAAAACTAACTTCTTCTATTAGACTCAATTTCTATTGATAACGGTTTTTTAATGTATGGTGCCAAGTCCATTATGTGTTAGGTGCTCCTCCATTCCTTCATTTGCTACCAAGCATTCAACCCAAATGGCTTCTATCTACCAATTCATTCCAACCCCCCCAACCCACTTTCATGGACGGTGCCTTTTTATAATACGCAAAATATTAGAGAGATTAAAAATTAGTAAATGATGACAGGGAACAATAATTATGGGACTTAACAGGTTTTAATACAGACAGCTTCCTGGTGAAGTTTTTTAGGTCATCTATATCTCCTACGAGATGGTCTGAAAATGATTATCAAAGCCTCATTCAAAATTTGAAACATTCGAAAAGGGGTAGCTATTTTACTTTTAACTGGTAACTAACTGCCTCCCGAACTCTCTCAAGCTTTGAGCTTGTCATTGTATAATAATTATTTAAAAAAAGCCTCATTCGAAAAATTTCTATTCGTGTTAGAGCTTAGTCGTCAAGACATCTTAGTCTGGTCAATGCCAACTGATAAATTTACTTCCCTCTTATGCACATTTATTCGTCTTAATTTTTTTCTTCCTCAAAGTATGGTTAAAGGAGTCGAGAAAATTTACAATAGGCCAATGATAGTCATGTTGTGGCATCAAAGCTGCCCCGTAAATAAAACGTCATATCTTATGAAGAAAGCTGAAGACAGTAGAAAAAATTACTCCTCCGATCCTCAATCTAAAATTTAATGAAGAATTGATATTAGTCGTATATGTAAAACTTATTTCACATATTTATCAATTTCTTTTATCAAATTTATCTTATTGATATCTCCCAACAATAATCACTAAGAGAGGGAGCGAGAGAATTTAACTAAACTTAACTAACATTCTTAATCCACTCAAATCAGCTAATTAGATCATATGTTAAGGATTAGAGACGAATACTTAAGATTTTGCAATATTGCAGATCCCAGCTTTTATTTATTTTGCATATGCTGTAAATGTTTTGCCACAATAGAAGCTTTGGAACAGAAATTTCGAACCCTTCTTGAAGGGTCTCCAAATCAAAAGAAATTAGTTGGATCAACCAATAATAAAAACAACGTCCCTCCGATCTAAATATAAAAATTGGTTGCCGGATGTACATGGGCCAAACCAAACTAAGATTTATATTTGGGCGTTTGAGCAGCAACCAACCTTGGGATTCGCTTAACTTGAAGCGACATTTCGGGCCTATGACCCGACAAGAACCCGAGTGAGTCTTCCTTAAATAAGAGCATATGAGAACCACCTGTCTATCATTTGGAAAGCTTCTTTAGGTTTAAATGATTGGGCTACATGACCCGCACCCTAATGTAAGAAAGACAGAAAGAGGAGGGTTAGAAGTCAATTTGAATTTGCCTATTTGAATAGATTTGAGAACCAATAAAGAAAAGAAATTAACTAAATGAAACTGTGTGGTGAAGATTTTACTTACTTTCACGGCAACATATGTCAAGAAGTACTCATGGTTCTTGTAGATTTGTGTGTATCTGCATTCAGTAATGGAAGGATGATATATGGGACAATATAATATATACAAATATCACAAAGGTTAGGATAATAATAATGGCCATTGATCAATTACCCGGCAACTTGACCATCAACAAACCATGCACGCCAAGGATCAGCTATTTTCAAGTTCAGTGACTTTATCCAAGCTTGTGTACCAATATGTGGTATTGCCAGGTCAAGATCAGAACTATGATAAGGAGTTCAGACATAAGCGAAGTTGACTGAAGAAAGTGATAGATGTACTAAACAATAGTTAGATCAGAATATTTTCTAAAGTATAGTGAGTTTCTAACTAGATTGGTTAGATGTTAGTAGCTGAGTTGGACTAAAGCAACTAACTTAATGTGTCCTTACATGTGTAAAATCTTGAGAAACAGTTCTTATATTATTTTTGTTTAAATATGATCTTAAATTTATATGTATGTTAAAATATGATTTAGATTAAATAAATTGTATATTTTAAATTTTTTAATTGAGAATGCAAGAAATTAAGTTGAAATTATCATTTTAGAGCTTAGAGGAAGAGGAGTAATAGTCTTCACTTTAACAATATAAATCAAATTTCTGATAACAATGAATAAAAATAAATTTTAAAAAATTACTATCAAGCTTAAGAGTTATAAGATATATAACCTTATATAAATAATTAAAAATAATTATTTAATATTTAAATAATATCTTGCCCCCTCTGGCCAAAGGTCCTTGCTCCAGCACTACTAGCAACAGGCTCCAGCCAATCTTAATTTAAAAGCTTATCTTGGTCAGTCTAATTAATTCCTGCTTCAGCAAATGAAATCTATAACACGAACCAAACTAACTCTTAAAATTACTCCATTTACGCAAGAAAAAAGTAAGGATGATGAAGTTTACGTGTATACAAGACATTGAAGGTTTGTCTTAGTGAGCATGCGATGATAATCAACAACACTTTGTAGATGAGTTTTGTATGATAAACTCATGTTGCATCTCAAGAACTCCCCTTTAGTTCCCTTCAAAGGCATAATAATAAAAAAATTTCTTAGTTAACTCTTGAATTAGTTTAAAGATATAATCAATAAACAAAGTAAATTCTTACCTCTCTAATCTGAAGAGCCTTCCTAACATCCTCATTATTTGCCCATTGGTTAACAAGCATGTGGTCATATCCCTACAAGTAAACTCCAAATTAAAAGGAATGTGTCTGTGCCTGTGCAAGCGTACGTATACAGCATTCTGAAGTTTACTTACACGACACCAGAATGCTGAAAGGTTCTGCAACGACTGGAGGATCCCTTCTGATGGATCTTCCAAGAGAATTCTTTCATTGTCATTGGGAGTCGTAATGCAAACAGGTTCCAAAATTTGATTTAGGTATATGTAGCGAATCAGCTGCAAATGAATAGCTTATACACTTAGTTTTTCATATCTATCTAATACTTCTAATGATGGTTGATTAGAAAGAACTGAGACAAGTGTGAAGGAGATTTATACGAACACGAGAGTATTCCTCATAATCTGAGACACACTTTGTGTTGTTTGGATTTATGTTGAGATAATCACCATTACAACTTGCCTTCATTGACTGCAGAAAAAATATCAAATTTTAGACAAGTAATTCCATGAGACTGATCACTCGACATTGAGTTTTCCAGTGTTAGATGTATCTCATGATTTTCATTATTCCAATTCAATAATTCATTAGTCGAGCTATAATTATAAGCTAATAAACTAAAAGGATAGAATTATGTTATGCATCTAAAGGTGAAACAACTCGACCTCTAGGAATCATAGAGCTCTCTCTCTAAAATAGTTCACTTTAGACATAAATGTGAAAAACATGCTCATCCTAATCAGTCATATAAGTCCGTGAAGAGAGCTATGATTAATTACTATCACAATTATGGCAAACAAAATTTTATCAGATTTGAATGAATGCATGAATAGAATAAAATAACTAAAATAACCTCATAGAGCTCATCCGATATAAGACTCATCTGGTGTGCATAAACAACTTGTGAGTTGAAGTCAAGAAACGCATCAGTTGCTGGGCTGGCAAGCACAAAACCCTGGGGCCAACTGAGAATCAGTGGAACTTATTTTCATATGCAATATGCCAAAGGAAAGTACTCTATATTAATGGTGCCCAAAAAGCAGAAAATTCCCCCCTAGTACCTATGAGACATCGTATTCACCTCTTGTATCATCAATGATTTTAGAGCTGTCTTACAAGAGAATATAGTAACTTTATAAGGCACTAGTCTGGAATATGATGCCTCACAAGGAACCAGAGAGTTTTTTTACCGGGGTTGGGGGGAGGGTAACTCTACACTTGTGTGCGTTATTTTACTTTGATATTTATGAGCGGATTGCTTCCTTCTCTGTAACCTGCAACTCAAACAAAGCAGAGAAGAAACTTAAAAATGGAAAAAAGAATGGCTATAGCTGACCAACTACAGATACAAGTTAAAATATACACTGCCTAACCTTCATATATTTTTTTAACAAGAGGAACAGTTGGCATAGTTGAATACGATCCACCACCAATGTAAAATGGATTTGAGCCAAACTCAGGATGATTAATAAACCACTGCGTTAATTGCAAATCATCAGAAGATAAAGTGCATCATATACATGTATATACGTCATTTATGTACTTTCTGATTTGAAAATTAGATACAAGAACCTGGTTAATGAGCAAATCCAATTGTGATAGAGGTTAGAAAGTCTGGCAACAATTCTATGCCAAATGGAAACTTTCGGTGCCAGTCAAGTGTTTGTGAAATTGTAAATGATTTCAAATCTAATATTTTTTACCTTCTGTAGAAAATCATATGTATTCTCAATCCACAGCATATCACTGCTATGGTAGCCTTCTTGTGTTTTCGAATAAGAAAATCCTGTGCCAACCGGTAAATCTATGTACATGACATTGAGTACCTGGTAATATAAATCCATATGTGGTCAGTTATGCTTATCTATCAAATGCATGTGCATAATACAATATCTCAAAAGAGAAGTAGCTCTACTAAATGAAAAAGCGAGATAAGTAGTAGTTGCTGTTTCAAAGATCATATCAGTAAGAAATAGAACCAACAAAGTAACTACTAACCACTTAACCAATGATGGCATTAGCGCCCGTGTCAAAGATTGTTTTCCATTGTTTCAATCCAGAAAAAGTTTCAATTAAATATTACTAATTTTGATGTATCAGTAGCAGAAGAATGGCTCTAATATACCTCCTAACAGAAAGAGTCTTTCCAATCTGAGAAAAATTGCTGAAAAAGTTGAGAGATTACAGTTTGCCCTGATATAATTTGTCTTAGAATCATAAAATAGCAACATAATGTCATGATTGTAGCATGAAGAGAAACAAAATAAACAGGGAAAGGAAAAAAAATGGCATTGATGGGAATGAATTATAAAATTGATCCGCAAGACAACACAAATATGGCAAGTTAAATTTAGAAACATCAGGACCTGCGTCCAAGCGTAGGGGTTTAATACAAGTGTTGGAAGAACCCCACTGGAACTGCGGTCAACTGTTACTGGTCCTGCAAGTTGTTAACTAAAAAGTGAGATTCTGATTACAGTATGGAAGGGGAAAGAGTAATAATTGTCCAAATATTTGTCTAGGTTTCCTCTTTTGCGACCCTTAAGGCAATTAATGAAGACATGGAATTACTTGGACGAGCACACGAGATGCAGGAACACCACATATCAGGCAATTTCAAGGGAAAATGCAATTTGGACCTTGTAAAGCCCAATGTAAGAGAGAAATTTGTTCAAGTTTGCATATTGCTTATTTCTCCAAACTTGAAATTCAGTATTCAGAGTAAAATTATACTTGACGTCTTGCAGAATGGCAAAAAAAAATCCCAATCAATGTGCAGAGTAAATCACAGCTGATGATGTTTAATCTAATAACTACTTGAATTTATGAAAAATTAACTCTGTTTTCTATTTTCCATTCAACGATTATCTTCTTGTATTTTCACTTTTGAAGCGCAAAAGGTCCGAATCCCACAAAATGTATGTCCCTATTTCATGTGGATCAACATATATATGACTCATTAGCCACAAGGGTAAACAAGACAACCCAGTCAGATTAAGGGATAAAGTTGAATTAATGCATCAAGAAGGGCATTACATTTGGACTCGTAATTTAGGGGTATACTTTTGAAATTAAAAATTAAAATGCGTACCATTTTCAAAAAGAAATGCAGAAAGCGCAGAGCAACCAGGGCCTCCAACAAACCAAAGTAAGATTGGATCTTTCGAGGGATTTCTTTGAGACTCCACAAATAAGTAAAATAATTGCACTTCCTCTTCTTCTCCCACTCCTATGTATCTGCACAATACAGTTAACACGAACATACTCACAATTATATCCTATTTGTGAAATTCTTGTTTGTTCCAATACTAAAAGTTAACAGCCAAGAGAAAAACAACACAAACAAAATAAATTAGTGTATGAAACAGTCTCATTCCATTCATGTTATTTTTTTTTTTTTAAAAAAAAAGATCCTATGTTTCTCCCCAAGCTTGAATTATTTTCATTGTTTTCAATGCAGCTTATTTGGGGAAAAATATTGTCATATTATTCTTTTCATTGAAGCTTTCCATTTTCCAATATTCAAAGGTGCGGATGCATAACATACAGTTACAAGTATAGGCTTAATCTGAAGGGGAGAAAATATCTAGAATTAAAAAAAAAAAAAAGATAATTTGGGAGGTTTGCCATAATTCAGGAGGGGAATAAAGAATATCATTTTCTTTTAAAGAATTCATAAATGAATAAATGAAAAGGAGTAAATATTCATTTCACAAAAGATGAGGGGGGAAAAAAGCTCACCCAGTTTCAAGTTTGAATGGGAGGTCACCAGAAAAGCCAGGTAAATTCCTGATAACTGAACGTGAAGAAGCCACGAACGGAGCAAGCAGTAGAATGACTAGGATGACATAGCACCATCTCCAACCCGTGGCCATAGTTAGAACACTACCTTTTGTGTGAATTATATAAATTTCATTAAATAATTTGGTGCCCTTATTACGTGATTCGTGTAAAAACAAATTCTCAAGTCTAGTTAACCCAAGGCGTATCTTCAGAGCCTAGGCCTTTTCAAGATTTTGATTCCAAACATAAAACAAATTAATGTTGATGTATGACTTTTAATCCTCAGCAATATTTCAAAAAAGACTGACTATGTTAATTATAACCACATCACTTATTTTGAATTCTATATGAATTAAATATAAATGATGAGTTAAACATCAAGAAAAATAGTTTTTTAAAAAAAATATTTTAAGCGAGGACCCGGTTTTGTGAAAACATAATCATTAAATTATTCAAGTTAAATAAAGTCAGCACAACTTTTGCTTTTAAAATTATTTTTAACAAATTTGTTGCGAAATGTCAATATCGAAATATATTCAGGGAACTAAAGATAAAAACATGTAGCAAGGAATTCGAACTAAATAATTTCGCATGAATAGAACTACAACAAAATAGCACTGATCAAAGCAAGAAAAGACGCCGGCGAAAGAGTTCATTCGGACACAAAATCAACTCTATTAGAGATCTGAGTGTGAAGTATCTAACCTTCTCCGTTAGCGCCGCGATTCCGATTATTCCAAAGAGTTCTTAATGCAGAGAATCGCCGGTGGTGATAGTGTAGCAGCTGAACAAGCGAGAGCTCAAGCGATGGTTCGCTGATTAGGATGAGGATTCAATGAATGAAATCACTGTTCGTAGAGGAAGAGAAACTGCAGGGTAACGGTGGAGATCTCTAGCCGGAGGCGGAGACGGCAACGAGGAATACCATAAGCCCGAAGCAGAGGGAGAGCTTCAACAGTTAAGCACCTGTGTACGGAAGTCCAAAAAGTGTAAGGCAGAAATTAATCAATGATTCATCCAAGCGTCCTCACGGGCGGCATGAACCACTTATCTCAGCAGCAACCACTGTTTAAGATAAAACTTTCTAATTCATTGTATTTTTTATATTTATTTATTTTTTAAGTAGGTTCTTTTAGTAATAGTAATTACTCAAATTAACCTACTAGTTATTATATTAACAATTGAAAATAGTACTCCTCCGGTCCTAATTATAAGACCCAATTGACTTATTTGAGGAGATTAAGGAAGTAAGTTAAATTGGTTGTTTATAATAAATAAGTGTTGTCATTCCTAAAATATCCTTGCTAATTAAGTATATTGGCTAAAACTATCATTATTAGAAGGATTATCTTGAAAAAAAATGCATAAGTATAAGAGACAAAATGGATTGGGTCTTATAATTAGGACCAAATAAAAAGTCAAATTGGGTCTTATAATAAGGACCGGAGGAGTATTTTCTTAACATACTCATTCAGTCCTTAATATAAGACTTAATTATTGAGTTAGTTTTAGTTCTAGATATATGATTCATTTATAATATTTATCAATTTTCTCTAAATTACTCTTATGGATACTCCCTCGATCATAATTAAGTAGAAGAGGGGGAGGGGTACTAAGAAAGATGATTATGATATTTTAGGAAAAACATGTCATATTTTTTTATAATAAACTAACTTACCTAACTTTTTTAATCTAATCAAATTAGTTAAATGAATCTTGTATCAAAGATTGGAGGAGTATATTCTTATTCTTGTTGATAAGGTCTCACTGGTGACCTATCGGTCACTTACTAATAAGTTTTTCCCATTTCGAACTTGGGATCTTTTGCAGGTGATGAACTAACTTTTTAGCAACTAAAACTAATCTTTTGTTGGCAGCATATTTCTGTTCTCCTCTTATTTCTATTCCTATCCCTTTCCTAAAATAAATAACTACTCAAAATTTTCACCAATTTTACACCATTTCTTTTTATTTAGTACTCCTCTAATTTAAATATAAGATTTATTTTGTAATATAATTTATACTATAAAATAGATATGATATTTGATACTTAAGACCAGAGGGAGTAATTATTTTTGTAAGGTGAGCGTCGAATTATTATGATTTTTACTAATATTGATTCAATTCGTATTTTTATTTTAGTAGTACCGTCGATTGGGCCATGATTCGGCTTTGATGAGTTCAAAATTGAATGGTTATCCTGAAATGATTGCATTGGAATTTTGGCCGCTGGGTGCACTCTTTTCTGTGGGCTGCGGTGTGGTGAAAGGTCCAAAATTAATATGTTCATATAGATCTTAAAATTAAAATTATTTTAATAATTATATTTATAAATGTTTTTATATGTATAGAAATTAATATTTATAATTAAAAAATCGTAAACATCCAATATAAAAATACAGTAACATCATCAATATTTTTTCCCACATATAACTTTTTTTTTAATTAGAAACAATCCTATTTAAAGTATTGAATTAAATATGGGTGTATTTTTCAGCAAAAATTTAAACTTTAAATTCATACAAGAGACTAACTTTTTTATTAGACTCACCCAGTTGTTGGTCAACCTTTCCTTTTTTCATCTAAAAGATAGAGAAAATCTCTAGGGAAGAGGCCCCCCCCGGGGGGCAATAATGCAAGAAATCAAAGAAGCTGAATCCTGCGTGACATCGTACGAGGTATCTCTATCTGGTTTCATAATAAGACAAATGGCCAAAGCACGTGAAAAAACGTGAAATTGTGACTTATTGTAACTCAAAAGAGTGTTTGGACGGGGTTTCTTTTTTAACTGACTTATGAAGAAAAAAATTTCTAACTGACTTATCCAACGTAATCTGGATGAACTTTTTTAACTGACTTATAGGAAAATTGTGTAAAGCTTACGATCTAATTAGTTATGTAATTCCATTTACTTTAATTTGAGACCAATGGTTTAAAAACCGGACCGGACCGGACGGTCGGACCGGTTGAACCGTCAGCCGGACCCGTTAACGGCTCGGTTTGGACCAAAAAAAACCGTTTATGTAGTTGAACCGGATTGGACCGGAGTTGAGCCGTCATTAAGCCGGAAACCGGAATTAGACCGGGAACCGGAACGGTTTTCAGAAAACCGAACGGTTTTTTAGCCTGACGAAAAAAATACTAAAAAATAAAAAAAATTGACCCCCTCCAATATCCTAACATATTTTTAGACTATTTATAACCATATAGTATTATCTTATTGAAAATTTCACATATTGTGATATTAAAATTTTCAATCACTAGTCTTTTTGTTTTGATGTCTGCTCTATCTTTTAAAATAATTTTTGATTTGAATAAATTAATAATTTTTAATATTATTAAATATTTTAAACATACATAAATATAAATATATATATAAGGTTTTAGTCATTTTCAATGATTTTATTATACTTTTGGATCATTTAAATACATTTCTAAATTATTTAATAATTTAATTTTTTCATATATATTAATTATATGTATATAATATTGTTTTAAATTAATTATTGTATCACCGGTCCGACCAAACGGTTCGACCGGTCCGACCGATTGAACCATGACCCGTTGATCTTTCCGGTTCGACTTCCGGTCCGGCTTTTAAAACATTGTTTGAGACCAAATAAATTTTAATTCTTATTCATGTCTGTCCATTATGTATATTTAATTAATTATCTACAATGTATTTTCAAATTTTTCTCGGTAACAAATATTTTTATTCTATAATTTCACAAATAAACATTTATATTTTATTATAATAATTTTATGTGTTTTTTTAAACTATTCTCACATTAAAAATATAAAATTTTAAACACCACTCCATGCCCTTTTCAGTCATTTTACAACTAAACTAATTTTTCTATTACTCATCCAAATAACTTTTAACTTTTTCAACTGACTTTTTAAAAGCACTTATCCAAACATAAATTGTATTACATTAACTGACTTTTATTCTAACTTCAGTTACAAAAGTCAGTTGGGTTATAAGTTAGACTTTTTAAAAGCACTTATCCAAACATAAATTGTATTACATTAGTCTGCATCCTTTGAATGTAGGATACCGGAGGGAAAAATCCAAAAACTGACTTTTACTCTAACTTCAGTTACAAAAGTTAGTTGGATTATAAGTTAATTTTACCCAATGCCAATCCAAACATACCCAAAGGCTGCGAGAAGAAGATAATCACCAAACGCAAGAAAGTAAACTTTTTTTTTTTGAAAAAATGACAAAAAACCATCAAAATAAAAAAACATTACATGTAGAGACCGGTTTGTAAAAATTATTATCAAAACCCATATTAATATTATCATATGTCCTTATTTGCAATTTTTCTATTTCAAAGGTCTTTTTCTCCATTTTTTTTTCCTTTTCTTTTAATATGAAAACCATGGATATGCATTATATTAGAAATATAATTTTACAAATAATGAAAACGTATTATGCCTTATCTTTTACGATCTTTGCTTTGGACTCGACCTGCTGGTTTAATGACATTATACTTTGATCAATTTTTTTTTTTTAAAAATATGAGGTTATAAGTTCACGACAAAAAAAGAATCTTTATTTTGTGTGCACAATTTCTTTTGAAAGAAGTGGTGTACATATGATATTTTTTTAAAATTAAATATCAATGTACATGTGTGTATAGGATTGATGGTCATTTTTGTTCCGAATGTCTTTTTTTTTTTTGAGCACTGGTTCCGAATGTCTTGATGAAGGAATTATATGCATTTAAATTTTTTGTTCAATTTTATTCCGAAATATAATCATATATTTTCTTCTTTTATGGTTTTCTTCCGAAAAGCTTTTGCTGTAAAAATTACCGTAAGGTGTTAAAAAAAAAAAATACTCCTCCAATCCTTAATATAGGACCCATTTAACTAATTTGATTAGATTAAGGAAGTTAGATAAGTTAGTTAATTATAAGAACTATGACACATTTTTCCTAAAACACCATAATTATCTTTCTTAATGCCCTCTTTTCATTTTCTACTTGATTATGGTTGAGGGAGTATCTATAGGAGTAATTTAGAGAAAATTGATAAATATGAGAAATGGGTCTTATATTTAGAATTAAAACCAACTCAAGAATTAGGTTCTATATTAAGGACTGGAGGAGTAATATTGTTAAAATTTAACATTGATCTTTATATAATTTGTTCCATTTCGCTTATCAACTGTATCATTTAATTAGTTCTTTTAATTAAAAGGTGAGGTAACAATGATTTGAAGTTACAAGCAAAATTAAACTTATAAATTTAAGAGAGAATTACAATAAGATCCTAAGTAAGAAAAATAATTAAAAAACAAGTTCCAGAAGTTATTATTCTCATTATAAAATTTGTTATTATAGGTTTTTATTGAGATTTTTTAGTAATTACTACCTCCGGTCCTAATTATAAGACCCAGTTGACTAATTTGAAGAGATTAAGGAAAGAAGTTAAGTTAGTTATTTGTAATAAATAAGTGTTGTCTTTTCTAAAATATCCTTACTAATTAACTATATTGGTTAGGACTATAACTATTAGAGGGACTATTTTGAAAAAAAATGCATAAATATGAGAGACAAAGTGGATTGGGGTCTTATAATTAGTACCAAAATAAAAGTCAAACAAAGTCTTATATTAAAGACCGGAAGTAGTATTTTTTTCTGTGCAACTTGATTGTAATTCCTTCTAAATTTAACTAGGCAAAGGGACGCCGCATATGACCAGGGAAAGCCAGGTTGACCAATCTTATCCTTGAACATTTTTTTTGAAAACACATTACAAAATAGGGAAATTAATTTGTCTTATCCTTATACTTTTACCAAATTTTGAATCAGCTACTTACAGTTTTATTTAATTTTGTTCCATCCTTATTGTTTACCCTGTTATCCGCGCCTGTTTGCAAAACGTGTATACGCCAAGTGTATGAAATAGGATAAAGTCAGATGTATTATAAGGCGTGCCCCGACAACAGTTCCATGAAATAGGATTCTTTCGCCAAGTGTATGAAATAATTTAATTAAAATGTCTCTC